TGAGAGGTTTGAAAGAAAGAATAGTGAGGAGCTTTGAGGTCTCCCCAGATGGCTCCTTCTTGCTTATCAACGGCATAGCTGGCTATTCACATTTGCTGTCAATGAAGGTGACTTACTAGTTGTTGTTCGTCTTGAGTTAGACCAAGTGTAAGGAGAGTGTGTTCCAACTCAGTGTGTCCTTGGAACTTTGGCTCAAGGCCTGGTGCTCATGAGGACCTTCGGGTGGAGTTGCGCGCAGCTGGGGGGAGCTTTCCACTGTCGAGCAGTAGCGTCACGTAGGTTGTGGAACATGAAGAGCTAGCCTCTCTGGCTCTGTACAGTGTGATTCTTCCTGAGCCACATGGTAATTGACGAGTCATGTTGGTTCTTGCAGACCAAGGAGCTGATTGGTAGCATGAAGATTAATGGAACAGTTTCAGCGTCCACATTTACTTCAGATAGTAAGAAAATATACACCTATTCTGGTAAGTGACTGGCAAGAGAGGAGCTTTGGAGCTTTGAAATGTGTGGCTGTTTGACATTTAATCAAAAGCTGCTGTCGGTTTTCTTGTTTTAGTAAGAATATCAAATTTAGGGTTTTTTTTTCTTGGAGACAGGCTGTCAGTCTGTGGTCCAGGCTGGCCTTGAGTTCACCTTGTAGCCCAGGCTGGTCTTGAATTCAAAACTATCCTCCTGCCACAGCCTCCTGAGTGCTGGGGTTATAGGTGTATGCTACCACGCCTGGCTTTAGTTTTTTATTTTTAATTTTTTAAACTTATTTTTGAGTATTTATGGCATGTTTATTAGTGACGGCAAAAAACTGGAAGCAGCCCATCTCTTCTTTTGCAAGAGAAGATGACCCAACAAATTATGACATACTCGCTGCATTTCTCAAATTCATTTTGTCGGGCCGGGGAGATGGCTCAGTGGAATAAGCGCTTCCCTGGCAAGCGCAAGGGCGCCTGAGTTCAATCCCCGGTTTCGCAAAAAAAAAAAAAAAAAAAAAATCATTTTATTGCCATTTGCTTTCTCATGCACTGACTGGTAATTGTGAATGGCTGGCTTTAACCTGCAGTGTTCAACCTGCACATTCTAGCCTGGAAAGTTTTTTCAAGGAATTGCTTAAGACAGTGAAATTCTCCAAATTCTCCGTGGGAGAATAGGAGTACGCTCTCCTGTGGGGTGGAGCAGTGTCCATGGGAGAGGAAGGCTGAACAATGAGAAGGTGCATTTGTGGGGCTGTAGGGTCATTTCCTGACTTGGCGCATTGTGTAGGGACACAGTGATCGTGCTATAAGCAAGAGGAGGGAATAAGGACTGATTTGGGCAGGTAGATGGCCATTCCAGTGTGGAAGTACACATTGGCTCCTCAGATTTAGGATCTTTTGTCTTCCCTTTGTAATTCTTTGTAAAATTTATAATTTTCCCAGAATTATTTGTATTTATTATTCACATTTAGCATTTATTATCGTTTAAATGTCTTAGTAATAGTTCTTTCACTTTCTCTTCTATTATCCAAAATTTGCTGAGTCACCTAGCCTTATGTATTAGGCACTCTAATGCCTGTTGATAGATGGCTTTTTTCCCTTCACGTTTTTATGTTAGTAATTTATGGGTAAACTATTGAAGCTTTTTGTAGCTCTTTCTAAAAGCTCAACTCAGACTTGCTGATCTCTTTCATGCTAAAGCTATTGATGGTGGGTTTTTTTTTTTCCCCCGTTTTTAGGACAGGGTCTACAGGGTCTCACTACGTAGATCAGACTCGGATTCTCCTGTGTTCAGCCTCCCAAGCACTGGTATTACAGGCGCGCACCACCACACCCAGTCTCAGTCACCCCTCAGTGTGCCCTGGGGGTGGGGCCGGCACTGGCACTGCAGGCCAGGGATCGAACCCTGGCTGCTGTGCTCTCCCTAAGCAGGCACTTTAGTCCACTGAGCTATCAGGTCGGCCCTTGATGGTGTTTTTAATGACTGACAGATGCACTTTTCTGTGTACATAAGTGTGGATAACAAACACTTTCCATCCAGTTTTCTAGGAGCAAAAGAGTTGTAAGTATATTTGTAGTCCTTTGTGTTATGCAAGAGGACTAAGAACGTTCAGTTTTCTTGCATTTCATGTTTAAAGCAAAACTAACCAAACCCTCATTTGGCTTTTTCATTCAGGGGATGGAGAAGTTTATGTTTGGGATGTGAACTCTAGGAGATGCCTTAACCGGTTTGTTGATGAGGGCAGTTTACGTGGATTAAGCATCGCCACGTCGAGGAATGGACAGTATGTGGCCTGTGGGTGAGTAAGCGGATTTGTGAAGCCAGAAGCACCGAGTGGTCCAGGAATTAAAAAAGTAGGTGCTGCACAAATAGTCGTTTGCAGTCTACCTGGTAGTGTGAAACCAATCAATCTGGAGAGCCTCGTGCTTTATATTTTTTTGACGCAGTGCTTAATAATACTAATGGCAGTTTCTCTGCTCCATAGCAAAGAAAATACTGCACTAGCTTAAATCATTGTGCATTTTCCTAGATTTGAAATATCCATTGATCACACAAATTTTTCTATGTTTAGCTTCTTGCCATTAATGAAGTGGTAAAGTCACCTTCAATTTTAATTCTGAAAGATAGTTGTAGTTTTTTGTCTGGCTAGGTGTTACAAAAACCAAATTGTTTTTATTCCTGTCAGTACCATTTGTAATACTGTAGAAACTTAAAAATATTACATAAGACATGTTCTTGTATTTATTACTATAAAAAGTGATTATTGCACTGGGGGAAAATGGTTTTATTCTGCTTGATTCAAAAATGCAGTGAGGGAGGAGAGGCATTGGATACATAGCGGTAGTTCCACAGTAATTTACCAAGCCACTGGAATTCCATAACAAGAAGAAGCAACTGTAATTCCATGATCTTGAGGGAGTTTTTGTATTTTTAAATGACTCTCTTAGACCAAACATGATTGAGCTGTGGAGATTTCAGTGGAGTCTTTTTTAGGGTGGCGGTCCAGTGGGTCTTCCTGTCCAGAGACATTACATATTCCCCATTCTATTTTCATTCCTTCAAAGTTAAAAAGTTGAAAAAACTTCCACTGCCATTTGGAAATCGGTACGCAAGCTACTTTGGGTCTGGAGAGGAAAGGCAACTAGGAGGCTGTGGGATGTGGAGACCAGGCCAGCCTCTGTGGCTGCGCCTCAGGCAGTTGCATAGTGACAGAAGACTGGTGTCCTAGAGCCTGGATCAAGGACCCTGCCTTTGCTTTGCTACCCAAGGTCACCGTTTGCCCAACTGCAGAAGGGTGTGTTCAGCATGAGTCGTGAGCCCTGGAGCAGCAGTTCATGGTTAGCAGGTCTGCTGAGGAAGTGCCCCCTTAACATGTGCACGACAGGGCTGTACCTCGTGGTGTGTCTCGCGGGCGGGCTGCTTGAGCCGCTGTAGTATGTGCAAACTGTCCAATCAAGTGGCTTTTTATTAATTTTACTAGTGTAAAGACTGATACACGTGACTGGATCTGTTTGTACCACTAGTGGTACTAGCTGCCTGGTCAGGCAGTCATGCATGTACCGTGGGTGAACATGTTAAAACGAAGACTGGTGTCTCATATAACTAACTGCTCCTGCCTTTGTGTGGAGCAAGGATAACTGCACAAAATTACCCTTCACGTTTGTGAAGTCAGCACACTTAATCTTTTTTCTGGTGCTTGCCTGCTCTTTTGTGTATCACTTTGTATCCCTGTGAAGGGCTCAAACAGGAAAGAAACTCATACAGCAGTTTAAAGTCATGCAGTTCTAATTGCTCTTCAGCATAACTGAATTCTGGTGTGCTGACCCAAAGATCATTTTCAGAAGGAAGCCTTTACCTTTGGCAGAGAGTTGTGGTACTGTCAGGTAGATGGGGAGAGTGCTGATGCTGGAGCAGCCAGGGCAGAGGCGGGGGGACTGGGCCAAGCGGCGCCGACGTTCTGCTCTCCCGTTGCTGGTATGGAAACCGCTGTCCCGGCCTTCGCTCCTTGCACTGAGCTGCTCTGCAAGACCTGTCTGTCAGTGTCCATCACCTCCTCTCATCCTGTGTTCTGACACAGAGTGGATGTTTTCTGTTTACAGTTTTCCTTTATAGGGAAATCTGGAAAATAAGCTTATTGTAAAAAGAGAATTCTTTTAGTTTGCGTTGTCATTTTTACGACTGTTGTTGATGAACAGCTTGCTATGCACATTTAGCACATGCGCACGTCAGCGCATGGCATGTCTGTTGGCGTGGCGTGTATTTGGGAACTTATTTTGGATTCGGCTTTTCCGTGGTGGATGGGTCCTGCTGCTCCCGCATCTGGAGCCCAGCTGGGGTGAGGCCTTGGCAGGGGCTTCAGCCCTGGCTGTCCCAGGGGCAGTGCTCCTTCCCCAGGCAGACTCGGGAGCTGAACTTTCACTGCAGTTTCTGTAAACGCTTTGTTTTGTGACCTCTGTCTAGTCCAGAAGCCAGTCATTAAAAACAAAGTGACTGAATGACTGTGTGTTGGATGGACGAGTCCAGTGTGGCCTTTCTCTCCCAGGTGCGTGACAGCCCTTATTTCTAGGCAGCTCTCAACTTCAGGTGGCTGCAGAAGGGCTCCTGCCTTTGCTGCAGGTTGAAAGCCATTTTGGGGTCTTTGCATTTGGAGAACCTTAAGTCAAAGCTGTGGAAATACCTGTTTTTTGTTTTTTTTGTTTGTTTTGGCAGAACTGGGGATTGAACTCAGGCCCTTGCGCTTGCCAGGCAAGTGCTTATTCTACTGAGCCATCTCCTTGGCCCAATACCTGTTTTCTAATGAAGGCTTTTTCACGTGGTTTTGAGACAGATTCTCACTGTGCAGCCCAGGCTGGCCTTGAACGCGCAGTGACCCTTCTGTGTGCTGGGATTACAAGCATACACCATCACAGTCAGCTATCCAACACTGCTTCAAATGCTTGCCTTAAACTTTTCATCTCATATTGTACAATCTAGGAATTCTCTGTGCTTCATCAGGTGAGGAAGTAGAGCCAAGATTCTAGCCCAGATCTTTGGTTTCAAAGCCTGGGCTCTTGACCATGTAGTCACTGCTCTTTAAGGCATGATTCTTTGTGTTGATTTTTAAATGTAAAAATGATGCGGTTCCGAAGATTGTAAATTATTATTTTCTGTATGTAGGGCAGGGTCTACAGGGTGTTCAGGGTCTCACTACGTAGATTGGACTCGTAGTGGATCCTCCTGTTTACAGCCTCCCAGGAGCTGGGATTACAGGTGCACGCCTAGTCTCAGTCTCTGTCTCAGCACACCCCAGGGCTGGGGCTGGGGCCAGGGCCGGGGTCAGCACAGAGTGCCGGGTATCCAGCCTTGGTGGCTGAGCTCTGCCTAAGCAGGCACTTTAGTCTGCTGAGTTATCAGGCTGGCCCCTTATAAATTACTAAGATTTGTCTTAGAAGTAAAGAGAGTTTATAGTTTCAATTGTTCTGTTATAAATCCTTTTGAGCTGTCTGTGTAAGCCCTTTGGAAAGGCAGCTTCAACCATTTGTGCTTCAGTTTTTATGTAGCTTTACCTTTTCAATCTTTTAACATCTCTGGATGTAGCTTCCATTGCTATTTTTTCCCACTTAAATCTGGGTTTTTTTTTTTTTTTTTTTTTTTTTTTTGCGGAACCAGGGATTGAACTCAGGCCCTTGCACTTGCCAGGGAAGCACTTATTCCACTGAGCCATCTCCCCAGCCCCTGGGTTTTAAGTTCTTAGCTTAAAATTTGCGAAGTGTTTTGAGTAGTGTTTTAGTGAGTCTGCACTTACTAGCCATTACAGCACTTACTAGCCACACGTGCATATTTAAAATTTTGAAATTCAGTTTCTTAGTGACATTGGCATGTGCATGTGTCTGCTGGCTCCATACCGGACAGGACAGGTGTGGGGGCCCTTCCCTCACCGCAGAGGTCTGTGCTGGGGAGTTGTGCTCTCGTCCAGGCCTTCTGTCTTGTGGAAACTGAGGCCTCACAGTTAGGTTATTTAAGGCTTTTATAGCTGGCTGTTAGTCATTACGCTGGTAACTGGCAAAGCTGAATCTGGACCCCTGGCCGCCTGTTCGCAGTTCTGTGTTCTTCCTAACCACTACTCCTCCCCTCACTTACTTTTATTTTATTTTAAAAGCATAGTGAGTAATTCAGGGCTATAGAAAAGTATGAAATTCATACTTCCAAAACTTTAGTGCTGTGTTTTGGTTTTATTTTACTTCATGTAGAGAATCTTTCTAGAAGTTTTTTTTCTTTTTTTCTTAGTATAAGAGTTAGCTGTGACCTTTATAAGCAGTGAGGAAAGGGATCATCCTTTCTCTCCTTGTACTCAGTATAATTTGTCTTCACATGGTGCTGTTCCTCTGTGTGTGTGTTTGTGTGTGTCTGTGTGTCCAGATTTTCCTTCTTTACAAAGTATACCAGTTATATTGGATTAGGAATCCAACTTACTCCAGTGTAAACTCATCTGAGCTAATTATATCTGCCACAATTCTACTTCTGAGGTTTTTTTTTTGTTTAGGCTGGATCTCACTATGTAGTTCAGGTTGGCCTCACACTCACTACATAGCACAGGCTGTCCCCAAACTCCCATCAGTCCTCCTGCTTCAGTCTCCTGAATGCTGGGATTACAGGTGTGAGCTACCATGCCCCTCTTGAACATAAGTTTCATAATGCAAGAAAAGCCTGTTTTATTCAGTAATATGTTTTTGCCTTGTTTTGCTCTTCTTAAAACATTGACCATGGAGCTAGGAATTGCATGCTAGAAAACCACCACCACAGCCGTCTCGTGGGTCGTGAACTTGGGGTGGGGACTGATTTTCACGTGGATCTCTGCCCAGCAGTAGGATTTAGCTGTGGTGCTCAGGCTGTGCCTCGCACTTGTGCCTCGGCCTCTGGAATAGCTGGGCCTGCAGGTGCGTGCCACTATGCCAGCTTGTCTCTTAAGCTCCTTCCTCTTTGCGAAGTGATTAATTTATGAGGACAGAACCCTCATGGGTGGGATTAGGTCCCCTACAAAAGGCTTTGAGGGTAAGTTGGCTGAATTCCTCCTGCCGAGGGAACACGTAGCTGAAAGGCACCACTGTGCAACAGAATGGTCCTCACCAGACCCTGACCTGCCTGCACCTTAGTCTGGGACTTTCCTGCCTCCAAAACTGGGAGAAAAATTGTTAATGTATGAATTAATACCCTGTCTCAGGCATTTTGTTAGGGCAGCAGAATTGAGCTAAGACCAGTTTGAACGAAGAATCTGTGAGCTGTACATGGGACAACACATGTGTAATCCCCAGCTTGGCAACTTAGGGACTTGGTGAGACCTTGTCTCAAAATTAAACAAATGTATTTTTTAGAAAGATTGGAGATGTAGTTCAGTGTAGGCTCTGGATTTGGTTGCCAGGACACCCCCCCCCCCCAGATTCTGAGAATTGTTAAGTACCATGTTCTTGTTGAGTCCAAAAGCATTCATTTTTCACTGTCTAGGATGATTCTGCCAATGATACACTCACATTGGTCATTTGGATTTACTTTTTAAGAGTTTTGGTCATGAGCATTCAAGTAAAGTTGGATGGTCACTTCCATACCCTGCTCTGTGAATATTCTCGAGAGAGTAAAGTGAGCATCTGCCTTCCTGCGTTAGTGACCTTGGCAAGTTCTGTCTGTGTCACAGAGTACAGTGAGGAAGGGGAGGAGTTATCCCTGGGGAAGGTTAGTTGCCTTCTGCACAGGAGGACATTCATCTGTGAGCACTGAGAGGAGTGGCCCTGGCCTCTGCTGTTCACTGTTGCGTGCTAAGCACTCAGTAGTGTCTGGCGTAGAGCAGGCACTTGGTAGGTATTTTTCAAGGAATGAATAATGGAGATTTTGTACTCTCATGGATTTTCTTGCTAGACAGAGCTCAGCAAGACTGAAGCGGGCCTGGCAGAGCGTAGCTAGCTTTTGTCCTGCTGTGGACACGGCAAGCCTGCGCTCTTTGTAGCATGTGAGTCCTGTAAGTATTGTGGCATGAAATCTGCATTCGTACATAGGTTCTGAAAGCCCTTTTCCTGGTTTTAACATCTTGTTGCATCCTTTTCTTATTGCAGTTCCGGTTGTGGAGTGGTAAACATATACAATCAAGATTCATGTCTCCAAGAAACAAACCCAAAGCCAATAAAAGCTGTAATGAACTTGGTAACTGGTGTTACCTCCCTGGCCTTCAATCCTGCTTCAGAAATTTTGGCAGTTGCTTCAGAAAAAATGAAAGAAGCAGTCAGATTGGTAATACTTGTTTTTTACTCCTTGCTTTTATCATTGAGAATTTTAAAATTTGACTTATTATAAAGTAGGTGACTTTGGTACTCACATTTTTTCTGTAGAATTATTAGTAGTGCAGCTTTTGAATGTGATGAGATAATGTTTTGTAGCCAGCAAGTGTGTGTTACTTTGGTTCTTTTAGGAAAGCTTTACCATGCAGTCTCAGTATTTCTCAAGTGGTGGTCCTCATTTCTTTCTTTCTTTTTTTGTTTTTGGTACTGGTGGTCAGACTGGGGAACCTTGTACTTGCCAGGTAGGTGCCTGCTTAAGCCACTGAGCTGTCTCCCCGGCCCTAGAAGTTTCTTTCAGTGTGTAAACTATGGGACATATTGAAGTCAAAACAACAGGTTTTCAAAAAGTAGGTGAGGAAAGAAACTTTTTGAAGACCTGTTTTCATGAAGTAGAGGCAATTCTTAAATTTTGAGTCAAAAATATTGCAATTAAAATAGCTAGACAGGGCTGGCCAGATAGCTCAGTGGATTAAAGCGCCTGCTTGGGCAGAACACTGGGGCCTGGGGTGCTATCCCCAGCACCACAAGCTATGCCAGCCCCGCTCCCAGGGCGCACTGAGGTGGCAGCTGAGACTGGGCGTGGTGGCGTATGCCTGTAATCTCACCGCTTGGGAGGCTGAAAACAGGAGGATCATGAGTCCGATCTACATAATGAGACCTTGTAAGGCCTGTAATGAATACATAAAAAGAAAAGCAATGAAAAAAAAAAATAGTTTTGTAACACCTGTGTCAGGAGTCCTCAGGGATTTTCCACATGTGGTGATTTGCTAGAAACAAGGCTCAGTATGTGGTCGTGGTCATGTTCATGGCTAAGGTTTATTGGATCAAAAGACAGAAATAAAAAATAAGCAAAGGGAAAAGGCCCATGGGACAAAGTCTTGAGGAAAGCAGATACAGCCCTCTAGGAGTCCCCTCCTAGTAGTCACACGGGCCACATTTAATTCCTCCAGCAATTACATATGATGACAGCATCAAGTGTTTTCTACCTAGGAAGATCATTTAGAGACGAAGTGCCCAAGACTTCGGGATTTCATTAGGTGTCATACCTCTGCCAACCATGTACCAAAATGCCAGACTCCCAGAAGTAAAGGCACCTGTTCAGCACAAGTCACATTGCTTGTGCACATGGTTCAGCCCTGGTGAGTCGCCCTCTCTTTCAGGGGACATTTCATAGCTATTTAGAGGACTTTATTGCCTCAGTTCCAGGCACCATCCAAGGGCCATCCTTGCAAGCAAGGCCTCAGGCTTGGGTTAACTCTTTTCTGCCCAACCTCAGAGCTCAACTGAAATGTCATCCAACTCTTTGAAAGGTCCTCAGACTGAACCGGTGTCTTCATTTAACAGTTACTTTGGGGGCCAGGTATACACAGATGATGTAGAGCTTTGGGCAACAGTACTGTGTTGTGCTGTTATGTGTATACTGCCAGATTGTTTTATGAAAACTCACTTAGGATGAACTTGTGTAATAGTGTGCAGTTTACCGAGATTTATAAGAAATTCTTCAAAATTTTTTGGTTCAAATAGCTGTCCTTCAGGGGATGAACTTGAGACGCAGTGCCCAAGACTTTCATTAGGTGTCATACCTCTGCCAACTGTGTACCAAAATGCTAGGCTCCCAGAAGTAAAGTCACCAGTTGTAGAGGGCGTAGATGGGATTCTAGGCTCTGTTTTCTCCCAGGCATTGTTGCCTAGGACTTCATGTGGCAGATAGGGCACAGAGGAGGCCGAGCTCCTGCTTCTGTTACTTAGAGCCATGTTGCTTTTTCCTATGGTGTATGTTGGGATTTTCTATATGATTTTATAGAGAAAGGGTCATGCTGGGAAAAAGTTTGAAAACTACAGTGTTTGCGTTTTATTGCCTTTATGTTCAATGAGTCATTTGATAAATGAGAAGGTTTAATTCAAGGCAGCTTTAAAATCTCTGTTCCTCAAATGGGAGTGGTGATGTGCTAGTACAGATTAACCTTATGTCACTTTAATGGTAGTAAATTGTTTTAGAAAGCCATGGGCTCTATCTTCTGTTGACATAATATATTCTGCAAGATGCAGAGTAGTTAGTTCTGCCTACTTTGCTTCAGTGATCATGACAGCCTTTAATGTTTTTTTATTGTGGCAAAATCACAGAAGGAATTCATTAGTAACAGCCAAATCACAGTTTTTAAATGGTAGTCAACCATAATATCTAATGGAAAGAAGCCAAGCATAGCAGCTTCAGAATGTCTCAGTGAAACAGTGTTGGTATCATTAAATGCAATTGCTTGTAATGATCCAAACAGTTTCGTTACCCCAGCACAAGGCAGTGAATGTAAATCTAAGCCACTGTGTCAGTGGGAGACCCAGAAGTCAAATTGTTATCACATCTACAATCTTGGAAACAGTAGAAAGTTGTGGAACATCTTATCCATTAAGTTAAAGATAAATGAATTTTAAGTTGATTTTTGATATATGGATTCTTAGCTGTCATGACAGAAATGTTGTTAGAATAGAGGGAAGGGCCGGCCAAATAGCGCAGTGGATTAAAGCGCCTGCTTAGGCAGATGCAGGGACCAGAGTGCACTGAGACTGCGATTGAGACTGGGCGTGGTGCCACACGCCAGTAACCCCAGCACTTGGGAGGCTGAGAACAGGAAGATCACTATGAGTCTGATCTGTGTCATGAGACCCTGTACTAAATACCAAAAAAGAAAAAAAAAAAAAAAAAAAAAGAAAGAAATAGAGGGAGCTGAGTTAATGAATTTGGGTCTTTAAGGGTCTCTTTCTTAATAGTTCATTTGTAATTTTTAACACAGATTTCAGCGCAAGTTCTATGACCTACAACTTAGATCTGACCAGGTAGTCGTTGGTCTGAGGGCAGAGGCATTAAAGTGGGGAGAAGGTTCCCTGGGGAACTTCGCAGTTCAATTCTGTGGAGTTTCAGGAGCACATTATGCTGTAGCAGATCCCATCCAAGTAAGAGGCTCCAGTAACATTGAGAAATGAGTTGTTGGTAAGTTGGTCTTAATCCTGTGAGAAGGGACACACTGGCCCACTGTTTGGATGCATGGGTGCTATGTATGATTGTGTGAGCTATTTGTTACCTGAAGCCACTTCATCCAAGAGATATATATATATATATATGACAGTGTAAATGTGTGTTCCTTTTTTTTGCAGAACCGGGGATTGAACTCAGATCCTTGCGCTTGCCAGGGAAGCGCTTATTCCACTGAGCCATCTCCCCAGCCCGTGTGTTCCTTTTTTAAGAAAGGAAAGTCTATTTAGTTCACAGTTTGGAGGTTTCAGTCCATACTCAGCTGGCTCCAGGGCAGAGTAGCACAAGGCAGAGGGCAGCAGTTCATGGTGGTGGGAAACAGCCAGGAGCCAATGTATGTTACTTATCACAGGGTTTCTGGTGCCTTGTTCTGTTTATTTAGCTATCAAAATACACAGCTACCTTTGATAGAAATAGACTTTAAGAAATTGCTATGTACACTTACTCCTAATTGTTGTACTTTATTTGTAAAAAGCAGTTGATGGCATTATACAGTTATATGAATCTAAATTAGGAGTCTGTTTTATCCTGTTTAGGTTGTAAACTAAAGTGGTGGTTCAATATGAATTATGTTTGAGT